CATTTTAAACACACAAATCCCAAAGAAATGCCCAGAAACCCCCAGGAAAATAAAAACCCTTGCAATTTCCCCATTTACAACCCCCCCATAACCAAAGCCATTGCCAGCCAGACCCAAATCCCAAACATGGCAAAGAAAAAAAAAACATTTTAAAAAAACAAATCCCTAACCCTAACCCTAACCCTTGCAAAAAACATCTAACTTTAGCAATAAAAAACCCACCACCCACCCAGGATAAGAAATGCAAGCTTACCTTTTGTAGCTCTACAGCACAACATGCACTCCCAAAACACAGTCCAAAGCGACAAAGCCAACCTTGGAGGTGCACATGGGAGAGTGAACCCAGGATGCATGGGCAAAGGGTTTTATACCTTCCCCGCACAGGCACAATGCATCCTGGGAACAGGCAGTTAGAATTTGAAGGAAAACAACAGATTAGCATTGCAAAGAAGCCACTTTTCCCGCTCCTTTTGCAAACACCTCTAATCGAAACGGGGACCATAAAACGCATCGTTATGCGAATCATGGTCCCGAAATCGCTAAGCGAGTTTCCCCCATAGGAGACATCGCTATACGATGCATTAAATTTTCAAAAAAAGCCATCGCTATGCGAATTCATCGTTGAACGAAGCAATCGCTAAGCAAGGCACCACTGTATACTTTATTTTCTAGTACATATTATGTTGCTGTTTTTAGAACTCTCTTAACATTTTGGTATTTGTTGCTTTTCCCTGTATTGCAAACAAACATTTGTGTTACATGGCTGGCTTACTTGAATTGCATACTATTATTTTTACTGTGCAGTCAGTTAACATAATCACTCCCTGCTTCTTGTAGATTGTATCTATAATGTATTATTGTAGCTTTGCTAAATATGATTAGAAGTGTTGATAAATGTTTATCTTTAGTTATTTCTTTCTTACCACCTCTCTGAGACTATCAATACTCATTTCCACAGGCAACACTTCAAAAATTTAACACTCAGAATGAGATGCAGACAATGCCTGAGCATTTACTATTTTCTGTTTAGTATAGTGTTATAGTATCTGAATATCCGTTTCCTTTTATTCTAGAAGCATGTTATGTACACATTGCAAACACAGGTTAAAGAAATAGGCCAATGAACCAATGGATGGAGCATTAGGGCTGAGGCTTAGGTTGCTGAACTCCTGTTTTGTTTGTAGTTTGACTTTTGGCAAACCACTTGGTCCCACTTTGATCTGGAGAAGATATATCAGTCTATTTTTCTTCGGAACAGTAGTTCTTACTCTTGAGAAACCCAGATGTTCTCAGACTGCAACTTCCAGAAACACTGGCTAGCACAGCTGGTGATGAGAGTCGTAGTCTAAGAATACCTTGGTTACCCAAGGTTGGGAACCAGTGGTCTAGAGCATTCTAAAAATCTCACATCGCTAACCAAACTCCCCTGTTTCAGATATCTCTCTGGGAAGAGGTTTGCCAGGAGAAACGGGGCCTAAAGGTTTTATCGGTGACCCAGGTTTCCCAGCCAGTTATCCAGGTGCTCCAGGATTAGATGGCGACCTTGGATCACCTGGTTTTCCTGGTCCTCCTGGCCCTCCAGGAAGTTCAGGTAAGAGAATGAAATGTTTAGGAAGGAAAACATACTATTGTCCTTTCAAAGAATATGTGAGTATTTCCTTCAATGGGCATTTTGGAGCTGAAAAAGAAATTGGAGTTTCAAGGTTTCCATTAGGCCATGAATCCTAAAAGAAAGATCAGGAACTGCTGGATAGCTTGAAGGTTTAGGTCTCCAGCTGTGGAGCCAGAGATTGGAAGTTCAATTCCCCCCATGCCTCCTTGACAGGGGCAGCACTTGATGATCTATAAGGTCCCTTCCAGCTCTGCAGTTCTAAGATTATATTAAAAGATTTTGTTATCTCTGGCCATTTATTTTACTTTACTTACTTGAGACATGATTTAATTGATTGAGATGTATCCAAGTGCTGTTGAACTGCTATTGAGTGAGATAGAATCATAGACTCATGGAATAATTAATTTGGAAGGGACCTATAAGGCATCGAGTTCAAACCCCACTCAGTGTAGGAATACAAATCAAAGGATGTCTGCCATGTAGGTGAATTTGTTTTTTAGGGTGTTTTTGTTTTTGTTTTGTGGGATACACAATGGGACCAAATAAAAGCCAGATGATGGAACGGATATGAGGAAAATATAAGGTAGCTACTTTAAATGTGAAAGGCCTAGGGTCTGTAACAAAGAGAAAGAGAATAGGAGCATTACTGAAGAAAAACAAGGTTTTGGTTGACATTATTTATTTACAAGAGAATCATCAATCAAAGAATGGAGTTAATGAACTGAAATTACAAAATACACACATTTATGAAAAAGGATTTGGGACTTCCAAATCCAAAAGTATAGCGACATTGATATATAAACATTGTGAATCTGGGGTAAAAGAAGTAGTAAAAGATAGTAGTGGTGGAAAGAAGATTATACATTAGTAAATGTTTATGCACCGAATATGAATCAAGGATAATTTTATAAAAATGTGATTAAAGAGATTAAAGGTTAGAAAGGGATATGTGATGATGACAGGAGATTTTAACATGGTTTTGGATAAGGTAAAGGATAAATCTGTATGCAAAAAGATGAGTTGAATAAAAGAAGTACGCTCTTGAGCAAGATGTTGAAAACTAGGGATTTAAAAGATATATGGAGAGAGTTGAAGGGGGATGAAAGAAGGTTTATGTGCTATTCTTCTGTACATAATAATTATTAAAGAATAGATTTTATGTTTATATCACAAAATTTAATTTCAAAGGTTTTGTTGCTGTTTAGTCGTTCAGTTGTGTCTGACTCTTCGTGACCCCATGGACCACAGCACGCCAGGCCCTCCTGTCTTCCACTGCCTTCTGGAGTTGGGTCAAATTCATGTTGGTAGCTTTGATGACACTGGCCAACCATCTTGTCCTCTGACGTCCCCTTCTCCTCTTGCCTTCACATTTTCCCAACATCAGGGTCTTCTCTAGGGAGTCTTCTCTTCTCATGTGATAGCCAAAGTATTGAAGCTTCAGCTTCAGGATCTGTCCTTCCAGTGAACACTCAGGGCTAATTTCCTTCAAAATGGATAGGTTTGTTCTCTTTGCAGTCCAGGGGACTCTCAAGAGTCTCCTCCAACACCAAAATTCAAAAGCATCAATTCTTCGGCGGTCAGCCTTCTTTATAGTCCAGCTCTCATTTCCATACATTGTTACTGGAAAAACCATAGCTTGGACTATGCGGACCTTTGTCGGCAAGGTGATATCTCTTCTCTTTAAGATGCTGTTGAGGTTTCTTGTCGCTTTCCTCCCAAGAAGCAGGAGTCTTTTAATTTCGTGGCTGCTGTCACCATCTGCAGTGATCACAGAGCCCAAGAAGGTAAAATCTGTCACTACCTCCATATCTTCCCCTTCTATTTGCTAGGAGGTGATGGGACCAGTGGCCATGATCTTATTTTTTTGATGTAGAGCTTCAGATCATTTTTTGCACTCTCCTCTTTAACCCTCATTAATAGGTTCTTTTATTCATTTATTCATTCATTCATTCATTCTTTCATTGTTTGATGGATGGATGGATGGATGGATTGATTGCTTGATTGCATTTATGCCCCACCCCTCTAGTCAATTGACTACTCTAGACGGGTTCCAACATATATAATAACAGTATAAAATATAACAACATTTAGACATCAGTAGTAGAGTTAATCAAGATGGAAAAAGATAAGAAAAAATAAAAATAAATCAAATAGTAACTGAAGGGAAGGCCTGCCTAAACATCAAAGTTTTCAGTTGGTTTTTAAAGATACTCAGCAAAGGGCCCGCACAGATCTCCGGATAGAGATTATTCCAGAGGTGAGGAGCTACTGCGAAGAAGGCCCGGTTTCTTGTTTTTTCCTTCTGGACCTACTTCGGCATCAGACTCCTCAACCTCACCTCCTGACTTGATAGAGTGATACGGGTAGATTTTGGTGGGAGTAGGCGTTCCGCCAAGTATCGAAGCCCTAAACCTTTTAGGGTTTTTTATGTAAGCATTAAAACTTTGAAGTCAATGCAGAACCAAATGGGCAGCCAATGCAAAGCGGCCAGAGTGGGGGAGATATGATGATATTTTCTCACTTCACTAAGGAGTCTGGCCGCTGCATTCTGCACCATTTGGAGTTTCCGCATCAATCTCAAAGGTAGCCCCATGTAGAGCGCATTACTGTGGTCTAATATCGAGATTACATGTACCAAGGTGGTGAGCGCCCCAACATCAAGATAGGGACACAGCTGGCCTATTTGCCAGATATGAAAAAAGGCAGTACAGTGGTGCCCCGCATAGCGAGGTTAATCCGTTCCGGATTAACCCTCACTATGTGAAATCGTCGCTAAACAGAATGTAAAAGCCCATTGGAACGCATTAAACATCGTTTCATGTGTTCCAATGGGCCCTAAACTTACCGTTCAGCGAAGTTTCCTCCATAGCGGCAGCCATTTTCGCGCCCTCGGTAAGCGAGGGGAGGGCACAAAAACGCTGCGCGCGGCCATTTCGGGCGTCCGGCAGCCATTTTGGAACCGCCGAACAGCTGATCGCCTGACTCTGTGGGAGGCGGCAAGAGGAGGGGGGCGGCGGCAAGAGGAGGAGAAGAGGGAAAGGGGGAGGACGCGTGAGCGCGCGGCTTCCCTCCCTTCGCCTGCCTGCCTCGCCACCTGCCTTCCTCCCCGGGGGCGTCAGGAGAAGGACGAGGAGGAAAAGGGAAAGCGGGGGGTAGCGGGCGAGCGAGCGAGTGCCGTTTCCCCCCCTCCCTCCATCTGCCTGCCTGCCCGCCTGCATTTCTCCCCGCCAGCGGCAGGAGAGGGAGGAGGAGGAGGAGGGAAAGCAGACCGCCTGCGTTCCTCCCTGGCCAGCACGGCCCCGCATCACTCTCGCAGCAGCGGCGGCTCCTTCCTGGCACCCGTCTTTGGCCCGTCTTCGGTAAGTGAGTTTTTTCCATAGGGACCGACGCTATGCCTCTACATTAGCCACCCCAGAAAAGGGATTGCTATGCGGATTCGTCGTTATACGGTGCGCTCGTTATGCGAGGCACCACTGTACAGACCACTGACGCCACCTGAGTTTCCATGGTAAGCGCCGAGTCCAGATGAATCCCCAAGCTGCAAACCTCACTCTTTGCGGTAAGAGTCACCCCCCCCCCAAAATGAGAGAGAGTTTCCCAGATGGTGGGGCCACCCACCCTCAGGACATCTGTCTTATCTGGGTTCAGCCTCAGCCCATTTTCCTGCATCCATTCTAGCACAGACTCCAAGCTGAAAAGACAGAACCGCATCCACTGCAGTTGGTGAAAAGGAGATGTAGAGCTGAGTGTCATCAGCATACTGATGGCACGATGCCCCACACCCCTGATGACCCCACCCAGGGGCTTCATGTAGATATTAAACAGCATTGGGGAGATGATTGAACCCTGTGGAACCCCACAATTGAGGCTCCACGGGGCTGATACCCTCTCCTCAAGCTGTACTCTCTGAGGACAGTCCCTGAGGAAGGATTAGAGCCAGGCCACCAATTCCTAACTCGGAGAGCCGCGTCAGGAGTATGCCGTGGTCGATTGTATCAAAGGCCACCGAGATATCAAGGAGGACCAATTAGAGATGTTTTACCCCTGTCAGCCTCCCTCAGTAGGTAATCATATAGGGTGACCAATGCCATTTCTGTACCATAGCATGGCCTGAAACCTGACTGGAATGGATCCAGGGCATTTGTTTCATCCAAATGAGCCTGAAGCTGATCGGCCACCACCCTCTCCACCACTTTGCTGATGAAAGAAACATTGGCGATGGGCCTATAATTGCCATGTTCATCTGCTGCCAAACTAGGTTTCTTCCGTTTGGGCGTAATGAGTGTCTCCTTGAGGGCAGGAGATACCCTGTCCTCAAGGAAAGACCCATTAAATATTGCAGTGGCTCATTCTGTTGTTATAGGCCTGGCTGCTTTGATTAGCCAGGCTGGGCAAGGGTCAAGGGATGAGGTGGTGGCCTGACAGCAATCAAGCGCTTTGTCCACAATATCTGTCACCACAGGCTGAAAGAAATCAAAAGGCAACGGGCAAGGCGGAGCACTGGACATCTCTGCTTGACTCACTGTATCCAAAAAAGGAGAGAGCTCCCAGCGGATGGCCTCTACTTTAGATTTTTTAAATGCTGCAAATTGGTCCACTGAGATACTAGGGGAAGGGCCGTCACTTAGACCAATTCCGGATAGGTCGCACACTATATGGAAAAGCTCCGCCTGCTGATTTGAAGCTTTGCTTATCCGGTTAGCGAGATGTACTCGGCTACCAGCCTTTACCTTGGCCAGGGAAAGGTTAGTCGCGACCCTGACAGCTATCCAATTATAATCTGTCGGGTTCTTTCTCCACTTGCGCTCTAGCCTTCTCCTAAATTGCTTCATCGCTCATAGGTCCAGATTAAACCAGGACGCAGGCCGAGCTCTGCGTTGGAGAGGGCGTTTAGGAGCAATCGTGTCTACAGCCCTGGTGGCAGTGGTAAACCAGCCATCAATCAGAGCCTCGAGAGGAGCACCAGCCAGATCAGCCGA